CGGTCCGGGTTCAGGTTTCAACCAAATAGTAATTTTTCCCCTCTCTTGTTTTTTTAAAAAAAAAAAGGCAAAAACCTCCCCCCCCCCCCGAAGGAGGGAACTTAGATAATTCCCGGTTCCCCCCAAATTAAGAAAAACCCAGCCCCTCCCAATTTTTACCAATTCTCCGAAACGGACCCACCACTGGTACATTGAACCCCTACCCTAAAATTTTCTTTTTTTTTTTTTTTTAATTATTTAATTATTATTATTATTATTGTTATTACTATTATTGATTATCGCTTATTATTATTATTTATTATTATTGTTATTATTATTGTTATTATTGTTATTGTTATTGATTATTATTATTGATCATTATTATTATTTATTATTATTTATTATTATTGTTATTATTATTATTTATTATTATTTATTATTATTGTTATTGATTATTATTGATTATTGATTATTGATTATTATTATTGATTATTATTATTGATTATTATTATTGATTATTATTATTATTGATTATTATTATTATTGATTATTATTATTATTGATTATTATTATTATTATTATTATTGATTATTATTATTATTATTATTATTGATTATTGATTATTGATTATTATTATTATTTATTATTATTGTTATTATTGATTATTATTATTATTTATTATTATTATTATTTTGATTATTATTATTATTATTATTATTATACTATTATTATTATTATTGTTTATTAATGATTATTTATTGTTCTTCATCTGTTTGAGTTGGAGTAAGTGATGGTGTTGATGGTATTGGTGATGGATCATAGTAGATATTCAAATCAAGATTAAAACGGACAACTGTAGTATGTGGAGGTTGTGATTCTTCATCTTCATGTGGTGGTGATTGAGTTGGTGGGAAATCTGATTCTTGTGATTCTTCATTTTGATGTGGTGGTGATTGAGTTGGTGGGAAGTCATCTCGTTGTTCGTCTTGTTGATCTAAATGGTGTTCTTCTTGATTTACTTGCTCTATTTCTTGTTCAAACTCATTTATAAGATTGTGTTGTTGTTGTTGTTGTGGAGGTGTTAAATAAATAGGTTCTTCCAATTCATAAGGGTAGTGATATGGTGGTGAAACATGAATTGGCTCTTCATTTTCAATTGGGAAGTTATGTGTTGGATGTTCATTTTCGTTGTCTTGAACGATTTCTGGTTCTTGATTGTTTATAAATTGTTCATTATTTTCTTGAATTTCATTATTTTGTTCTTCATTATTTATAACTTGTCTATACTCATCATGAATTTCATTATTTTGTTCTTCATAGTTGTCATTAGTATCTAAATTTTCTTGTGATGAGTCTTCGTCTTGGCTTTTTTGTGGTGACTTTGGTGTTGATAATGGGGAGATTGGGGCTTCTGATGGTGATATTGGTGGTGAGACTGGAATTTGATAGGATATCCAATCATAATCATCATTATCTTCAGATGAATCATCGCTATCTTGTTGGTGGGTTGTTGCAGTGGTTGTAGTGGTAGTGGTAGTTGTAGTTGTTGTTGCTGTTGTTGTTGTTGTATGTTGTTGAGATGGAGGAGTGGATAAAATTGGTTCCTCTTCATAGTTTTCTAAATTGTCAATAATGATTTGATGTTCTTCATTTTCTGATTCTAAATCATCATTTGAAAAATCTTCTAAATTGTAAAAATTAACCAAAGTAGTTGGTTCTATTATTAATGCTTCTAATCTTTCTAATTTTTCTAATTTTAAAATTTCTTTTCTTGCAATGTCAACTCCTTCTTTAAAAAAGTTTTTATTTTCGCCTCTGGAGTACTGTAATTGGATTAATAAATCGCGTAATAATTCCTCTAATTGGATTTTCGAAAGTTTCATTTTGAATGTATAAAATATAAGATATTGAAAATATGTAAAATATAAAATGTAATATGTATTTGATGTAGATATGGTGTAAAAATATATAAGCTGGTAAAAATAAAAGGATGTGAAAATATATATAATATAAATAAAATATATGGATAAAAATTATTTTAAAATTTAAAAATTAATTTTTTAAAAATATTTTTTAATATAATTTTTTTTTTAAAAATTAATAATTCAATTTCATTTTAATAACAATATATTTTAAAATGGGGAGTTATAACTATTTTTAAAAATAGTTATAACTCCCCATTTTAAAAAACATACATAATTATCCAATTATCCCATTTTTCTACCTCTTTAATAATAAAAAAAAAAAAAAAACCACTTTAAAATAATCAAAAATAAAATGAATTAAAAGCCTGCCACCTCCAAAACTCTTGGGATTTAATATCAATGTTCTACAATTACTTTAATCTTTCCCCAATCCATATTACTTTGTAATTCTACAATTACTTTTCTTTTATATTACAGTCTTTTTTGTTGAACCTTCTATAACTGTTCACTTTGGAAATCATTCAAGCTATGCTCAAATTGTATTCCCTATTCCTCTTTGATCCTAGCTCTGCTAAAGTCAACGATATTAATAGTATATATGGTCACCTATTACCCATCTTATCTCTTATTTATCTCTTTAACTACATTACCACCTTTACATCTTAATATGTAAATGGCAATCACCTTTTCAAATTACTAATCAATAATCAATCAAGATAATAGCAATTCAAATTATCATAGTGTAATTAATAATATCAATTTATTCTAGTTAATATTATAAAGACCAATTATAATAATTAAATTAATATTTAACAATTTAAAAGTATAAATAGTTCAATTTAATTATTATCAATTATAAGTTCGTTTTTATATTTTATAGAGATAATAAAATTCTCTATTTAAAGTTAATACAGTTTATATAGAGATAATAAAATTCTCTATTTATAGTTAATAAAAAATTATTTTTTTTAATTTTTTAAAATTATGGAAATATTTTTGTTTTAGATAATTTTTTCTATTTTTGATTAACATTGGGTCACCTTTTTTTGGAATTTTTATTACTAACATTTCTTAATATTGTATGCCAATAATGTGTGAATTGCATAGGAATTCATTGAAAGCCGAGGTTAGCTTTGGTGCTGGTTTTTATTTTTTGGGCTGCAAGATTTTATAAAAAAAAATTTATTTTTTTTTATTTTTTATAGTTAAAGTAATTACTTTTTTGGTATTTAAATCATCTACTTAAATTTTGAAAAGAAAATTAATAAAAAAATAATTGATTATAAAAATAAATAAAAATTTGTTTCTTTTTTTTTTTTTAAAAAATATTTTTCAAAACAAACGCCTTAAAAAAAAAATCTCTTATAAAATTTAATCTCTAGTTTTTTAAAAAATAATTAAATAATAATATTGGGTAGTAATTTATATTAAATAAATAAAATGTATAATAATAACAATAATAATAATAATAACATTAACAATAATAATGTTAATAATAGAAACAATGACAATAATAATACAACTAATTCAAGAAAAATAGATAATATTGATGAAGTTTCCGTATATATAATGAAGTCCATAAGAGTGGAAGTTTTAAAATTTCATTTGGTTTAACACAAAATACATGATGTTATTATAGAAAATAGACACAGAACAATTATGGAAAAAATAAGAGCAAATAGATTAAAAATAGAAGAGTTAAAAAGAGAAATCCAATTAGAACAAATTGCAAAAGAAAATTTATATGAACAGAATAGAAAAATAAATAGTTTTAATAAAAATATAATTTTTTATTTAAAATATCTCTATTTTTTTTTTTTTTTTATATTTTTTTTTAAAAAATTGAGAAAAATGATCATTTTTATTATCAAAAATTATTATCCCATAAAAAAACAAATTTTATAAAATTTTTTTCTAAAAAAATTTAAATTCAATTAGATCTTTCAAGAATTCCTTACAGCAATGACTCATCTGAAACCCTTGGATTCTGTCCAAAAACTTTTTTTTATTATTAAAAAAAAAAAATAACCATGTTTTCTTTTTCTTGAAATAAACTATAATTTTTCTGTCTCACAGGTTTCATAATCACATCTGAATTGGGTTATCCAATCCTCACTTTTATAAAAAAAAATAAAACAAATAAAATATTTTTTTTTTTTTTTTTTTTTTTTTTTTTTTTAAAAAATCTTACATAAATATTATTAGTGTAGGTAATAGTATTTTATTTATACAAAAAAGAATAGATGTTACAGTGACCCACTTGTATCGTAAACTCAAAGAAGTATAAACACATGCCAAACAAAAACATATTAATCAATTGATTAATTCCAGATAATAAACTCTGGGAAGATAATCTATGGGAAGATAAAACCTTCTCAAAAGGTATCGACAACTGCAGGGTTCGAACCTGCGCCTCCGAAGAGAATTGATTTCTAGTCAATCGCGTTAGACCACTTCGCTAAGTTGTCAAGTTGATGTTCTTTTCAATTTTTAGAACCCTCACAAAATTTTTATGAAGAAGATTTATTTAATTTATAAATCTTTAACCATCATATTTTTACTAAATTAGATAAAATGAAAAAAAACTGTCACAGTTCAAATTTTAAATTTCAAAATTCAAAATTCAGTTAAAAAAAAAAATGTTTATATAAAATTTATTTTATTTTTTTTTTTTTTTTTTTTTTTTTTTTTTTTTTTTTTTTTTTTCTTTCAAAATTCTCACTTTTAAAAATTTATTTTATTTTTTTTGTTTTTTTTTTTTACAAAAACATTCAAAATAATAAAAAATCAATATAATAAACCTCAGTACCTAAATGAACCCTTTATTTAATAAAGAAAAAAACACCGTCAAATTTTTCCCCACCAAAACGAATTGGGAAAGAATTATGGGGCCTTTAGAAAATTTTTCTGCTTCAGTCTACACAAGAGGTGGTTTATGGTTTAAAGGACACATTGATATTGAAAGATTTGTTAAATCGATGAACGAGTCAATGATAGAATGCGATTTTTTATTATCATATCTATATACCGATGATAAAAATCAACTCTATGCATGTTATCCACCAAAGAGACAAGAAAATGAAGCTCAAGAACAATTAGAAATTGAAGAAAGAAAAGACTCTACTGAATACTCAACATTAGATATTGTTTTACCAAAGAAAATAATCAGCCCTGCTCAACATTCAGGTTTTGTTCAAGATTTAAACGGTGTTACAATGGGTGCATTTAAACTCACCATTTTTAATGACGGTTTTGTTATTGGTTACAATATGAACCATACACTTTTCGACCAAGCCTCAATTTTTTATTATTTAAAATATTTATCAAATATCTATTCTCATGGAATTGAAAAAAGCAGCTTAAAGAAACCATATGCATTTGACTCATTTGATTTAGAAAACGAAAGAATTCATTTTAAAAATCTCGATCAAGCAAGAGAATATGGTGCAAATGTTTTAGGTTTTGTCTATACCCCTGCAACTTCAACCTCATCAACTACTGATAACAGTGCAATCGACTATTTCTCTCAAAATACACAAATTAAATTAATATACGATTTAGAACAAATAGATAAATTCAAAGCTGAAGGTGGTCCAACTTTATCAAAGAATGATATTATATGTGCACTTTTATTCAAAGCATATACCTATACCTCACACCTATCCGATGATCAAGATTTTACCCTTAGATACGCAAACAATATTAGATCAAGACTTAACATGGGTGAAGAAGCTATTGGTAATTTATCACATCAATGTCGTATGGTATTAAAAGTTAAAGATATTAGAGAAAAGAGTATCCTTGACTTGGCAAGAATTAATCGTGCTAGTGTATCAGATATAAAAGGTGACCATTTCAAAGATGACTATAATTTTTACAAATATATGTATATAAACAAGGAAAATATGTTTGATTATATTGGTAAACCAGCATTCATTACCTCGCGTGTTACAAATTGGACAAGTTTTGATTACCATAATACCAAATTCGACGATACTGCCCCATATTCATTAAGATCACATTCAATAGCTGCCTATGGTGTTAATACTATTTCTTTTGATACAGATTCAAACGGTAAAAAAATATATACAACTCCAATTTCAATTCCTCTCGATTGTATCGATAAAGTGGTCGAATTGGGTAAAACAACTAAATTATTTACAACAGGCGATGTATTTAAATAAAATAATAAATAAAAAACTATTAAATTAAAACCATAAATATTGTGTTAAATATATTTATATTTTAAATATGTTATAAATAACATTTATAGTTGTATTTAAAAAAACAATAAAATAAAATATAAAAAAAATGAATATAAAACCTAGATCTACTATTATTGATGGTACTGTTTCTATATGTATAAAATTTAGCTAAAATCCTAAATCCAATAAATAATTCCAAAATCCAATAAATAACATAAAACCTATTTTTTTTTTAAAACCAATTAATTATATACTTTTATTAATAATCAATTTATTTTTTTTGGGCAGCTTTTTTGGCAACAGCGGCTTTCTTCTTTTCTTTGATTTCTCTTTTGGCTTGTTCGGCAGCAGCTTGTTTAACTTCTGGTTTTTGGTTACGTTTTTGTTGGATAACTTCTAATGAAGCACCGACGATGTTTCTTTCGACTTTCTTGGTCTTTCTGGCTTTCTTTTTGGCTGAAACATCAGTAGTGGTGTTTTTGTAGATTCTACGGTAAACAGTTGACCATCTGATATCTCTTGGGTTGATCTTTCTCATGAAGAGAGATTCAGCTTTAGTGTTGATGAAGTGGAAAACTTTAGAGTCACCTCTAACAAATTTCATACCACGAGCTGGGTAGATTTTGAATTCAGTGTAGTTGCAGATGGCTGTCCTATATATTGAAGTTAATCGTTAATAACCATGGTGTATTGCTAATTATGGGTGTGTGTGTAAATATAATCTCTATCCTTTATCCCTATATACAATCCTATCTTTAATCCAATACTTCTTTTGATAATCTATCTTTTATCCATCTTGATTATTATTAATCCTTAATTTTTTTAAGGATAGAGATACATATAAATAAAACACAAAAAAAGAGACATAGTGTCACACATACTTCATTGTTAATATGAGTCAATAAACTGAAAAAAAGAAAAAAATCAAAAAAAAAAAAATTCATGCAATTTTTTTTTTTTTTTTGCATCAAGCGCCCACTATAATTTTTTATGAGGGTGCACAAATTTTTAAAAATTAAAATTTTTTTTCTCATTAACGTTCGGTTTTTTTTTTTTTTTTTTTTTTTTTTTTTGATTATATTTTAATTTCACAAAGTTAAATATAATTTATAATATTTTTTAAAAAGAAATAAATTATAAGTATAATTTTTTTAATAAAAATAAAATTAAAATTAAAAATTAAAAAAAAAAAAAATTTATGTGAGAAAAAAATTAAAAAAATTAGTTAAAAAAAATATTATTTTCTGTTGTTTTTATTCAAATATTTTTGCAAAAGTTTATACTACTATTGCATTCCCATTTATTAATAAACTTTAAAATATAAAAAATAAATTGAATAAAAAAAATAAAAAAATACTAAAAAAAATTTACAATTAGTTTTTTAAAATATAATATTGGTTTTTTTTTTTAAAAAACATAATTTCTTAAAAGTTAAATTAAAAGTAATTAATTCCACAGTTTCAATTGTTAATTTTATGCATTTTTCCTTTTTTTAATTTTTAATTTTTTTTATTTTTTTTATTTTTTTTATTTTCAAATTTATTTTTATTTTTCATTTTTTTTTTAATAATATTTAAATATGAATAATGAATTAAATATAATAATAAATATTTGTAAATTAATAGAATCAAGTTTTGGAATAAATGGGAAATCTAAATTAATATCACAGGTTTTTGATTATGATGATAATGATCAAGAAAATCAAATTAATACCAATACCAATAATAATAATAACCTAAATAATGACAATAAAACAATATTATCAACACAGAAATTGATTTTAACAAATGGTAACATAGGTTTATATTTCAAATGTCTCATCTATTTAAATATCTAATATTTTCTATTTCAATAGATGGATTAAAAATTTTAGCATCATTTAATAATAATTCAGTTTATTATAAGATACTATTAGAACATTCAAATTTAATATATAGACAGTATGGTAGTGGTGTATCACAATTTATAATATTGTTTGGAAGTTTATTAAGAGAGTCGATAAAGTTAACAAAAAAAGGATTTACAATTAACGAGATTTTAGATGAATACAAAGAATGCAGGTTATTTTTAAAAAAATATCAATTTACATCATCAGCAATAACAGAAAATGAAAAACAGCATGTCCAAATTAATTATAATATAAAAGATAATTTTATAAATCATTATTTAGAATCAATAATCAAAGCAAGTGTATCAAAAAATTTATTAAATAATTATATTAAAGAAATAACAAAAATAATTAAAAGTCTTTTAAATAAACTGCCAACACTAGATCCAGATAAAATAAAAATATTATTATTGGTAAACGATGATGAGGATGATGAAAGAGAAGAGGATGAACAGGATTTCAGTTTTCAATTATTCGATGGTATATTGTTTGAATCAACATTTTCATTTGCTGGTAAAGATCATTTGGTCAAATATATAGATAACCCCAAGATTTTGTTACTAAATCATGAAATCGAATTAAAGCATCAAAAAGAATTTTCAAAAATCGAAATTGGTGCAAGTAAAGAAGATCAAGATATTGGCCAGTTATATTTAAAATATATAGAATCAGAAAAGCAATTACTATTTGACCAATTGAATAATATATATAGCAACGAAGTTAATTTGATTCTAAACAAAAAGATTATAGGAGATTTAGCAACACAGGAGTTTGTAAAAAAATCGATTGGTAAAGAAGAGGGAAGTCAATATAGAATTCAATGTAATGGTTTAATTAAAGATGAGCTATTTGATGAAATTTTAAACTCGACAGGTGGAATGGTTCAATCAAGCTTAACATCATTATCAAAGAATACAAAGTTTTATGGAGCATGCAAACGTTATAGACAAATAAATATAGGTAAAAAATCATTTGAACTTTTGGAAGGTTTAGATGGATCAACTCAAACCATAATATTAAAGGGATCAAGTAAACAAAGTTTAAAACAGTTTAAACAAGGACTATTATCATTAATAAAATCAATAAGATCAATAATAATAAATGATAATTATAATGTTGTTGGTGGCTGTGGTAATTTCGAATTAAAAATTATAAAACTATTAGAATTAAAAATTAATAATATTACAAATAGTAATGACAATAATGATAATACTAGTAGTAATAATATTAAAAAAATTATATTAATCAAAAGTTTAATTAAAAGTATATCAAGTATTATTAAATTATTAATAGCAAACAGTAATTTAGATTTAGAATTATTTGACCAGCTATTAGAATTCAGCGACCAACATAATAGTGCCATTGATATCGAAAACAACTCGGTTGGGTCCATTCTAGAATTAAAGCTATTTGAATCAAATTCAATGAAATTTTCAATTCTTAATTCATCAATCGAATTATTATCAATATTTCTAAAATCAATTTAAATAAAAATACTTTTTTTTTAAAAAACCAAAACTGCATTTAAAATTTTTTTTTTGGTTTTATAGTTTTTTTTTAAAGTTTAAGGTCAATAATAAAAATTACTAAAATTTGGTATTGTAAAAAATACATTAAAAAAAAAAAATAATAATTATTATTTATTTTATTTATTATTTATTTATATTTTATAATTCATCATGTTTTGATGATTTTTCTTCTTGGACTGATTCTTCTTGGGTTTCTGGTTCAGCTTTATATTCGAATTCACCTGGTTGGTTAAACATTTCGTTGTTACCATCAAATGAAACTTGTGGACCAGTATTGGTTTGTTGTGGTGATTGGTAATCAGCTTTAGCGATTTGTTCTCCACTGATTAACATAATTTTGTAAATCCAATCGGCGAAACTAGTTGGGTTTTCAATAGAGTAACCAGCAGTTAAGGCAGAGGTTTCATAAAGAACATTAGCAGAAATTTTAACGACTTCATCTTGTTCACCAAACTCTACTAATCTAGATAAGAGTTGTTTGATTAATTGATGTGATGGATTAATTTCCATAATTTTCTTTGGATTGAATTGTGGTTGGGTTTGACCATGAGCTTGAGCTTTCATGATACGTTCCATATTACCGGTGAAACCCCAAGCGTTTGAAACTAAAATTGATGGTGAGTCAGCTAAAACTTTTGAAATGGTAACTTTTTCGACCTTATCTGAAAGAGTCTTTTTAAGGAAATCAGTAAGTGGTTTGAATTCTTCGGCGGTTTGTTTACGTGATTCTTCTTCTTCGGCGGTTTCGTCGAATTTAACACCATCACGAGCTAAATTGGTGAATTTGTATTTATCGTCATATTTATCTAATTGTGGAATTAAATATTCATCAATGGCATCAACAAAATATAAAACTTCATAACCTTTTTTGATGGCTTGTTCGATTAATGGTGAGGCTTCAACTGATTCCTTTGATTTACCAGAGATAAAGTAGATTTGGTCTTGGCCTTCTTTCATACGTGAAACGTAGTCTTCGAATGAGGTGAATTCGTTTTTGTTTGATGGGAATAAAAGGTATTTGATTAATCTATTCTTGTTTTTGCTATCTTCGATGATGCCTAATTTAACATTTGAACCGAATTTCTTGAAAAAGTTGTGGAAGTTGGTTTTATCTTCATCTTCAGCTAAACTTTTAACCATTTGAATGAATTTAGAGACAACAGCTTTTTTAATAGAGTCGAGAATTTTGCTTTGTTGTAAAATTTCACGAGATACATTTAATGGTAAATCATCAGAGTCAATGACACCAATGAGGAAACGAAGCCAGTTTGGAACTAAATCTTTGAGGTTATCAGTGATGAAAACACGACGAACAAAAAGTTTAAGACCAGATGAGACAGCGTCTAAATCAAACATATTTGATGGTGGGTTTTCTGGGATGTAGAGGATGGAACGAATAATTGGGTCGGTTTCAGTTCTGAAGTGAGTGTAGGTAATTGGGGTTTCTTGGTTCTTTGAGAGTGATCTAAAGAATTCAGTGTATTCTTCCTTGCTGATTTCAGATTGTGATTTCATCCATAATGGTTTGGCATCGTTTAATTCTTCCCATTTGTAAACAGTTTTCTTTTCAGTAGCTGGTTCTTTTTCTTCAGCAGCATCTTCATCTTCTTCAGTGGTGGTGGTTTCTTCGTCATTGGTGGTTTCTGGTTTAGTTTCTGGTTCTTTTTCTTCGACTGGAACTTCAATTTCTTCAGAGGTGTATAAAAAGATTGGGAAGTTGATGAATTGACTGTATTTCTTGACGAGTTCACGAATGGTTTGTTGTTCTAAGAATTCTTTAGAGTCTTCTTTGATATGGAGTGAAATACGAGTACCTCTACCAAGAGTGTTACCTTTTGGATCTTTAGCGATGGTGAATTGTGATTGTGAATCTGAGGTCCAGATGTATTGATCATCGTCGTTACTCTTTGAGGTGACAACAACAGAGTCGGCAACTAAAAATAATGAATAAAAACCAACACCAAATTGACCAATTAAGTTTGATGAGTCTGATGATTCGCTAACTTTTTGAATAAATTCTTTAGTGCCTGATTGGGCAATGGTACCTAAATTCTTGATTAATTCGTCTTTAGTCATACCAACACCTTTATCAGTAATATGGAGAACATTGTTTTCTTTATCAATCTTGATATGAACATCTAATTTAGATTGTTCACCTTCGCCTAATAAACTTGGATTGGTTAAGCCTAAAAATCTAATTTTATCTAAGGCCTAATAAAAAATAGGACGGAGAAAAAAATTTCAAAATTTTTTTTTTTAAAAATTAATATGAAAAAAATAAATAAAATTAATATATATGATTAAATTATTGCACTTACATCTGAGGCGTTTGAAATTAATTCTCTTAAAAAGATTTCTTTCTTTGAATATAATGAGTTGATGATAATGTTCATAAGTTTGTTAACTTCTGTTTGGAATGTGAATTTTTCACCTTTTTCTTCAATTAATTTGGCTTCAGCTTCTGTGTAACCATCACTTTCTAAATTGGTGGTAGTTACATCATTTGCTTGTGTGCTTGGAGTGAAAACTACAAAGAGTAAAGCAAAAATTGTGAAGACTAAAAATAATTTTGTAAATCCTCTCATTTTTTATTATTACAAATACAATATAAAAAAAAAAAATAAAAAAAAATTTCAATTTTTTTTTTTTTTAAAAATCTCAATTTTTTTTTTTTGAACGCATCGTCATCAAATAGTGGTTATCATAACCGGTAACGATACAAATAATATGCGAATCTTGATTAACAAAAAAAAAAATATATAATTTAGAAATAATTATTTTTTTATTTTTTTTTATAAATAATTTGTTTTATAAATAATTTATTTTTTTTCATTTATGCCATAATAAAAAATAATTAAAAAAAAAATAACGAGAAATAAAAATGAACCTTTTAATTAATTAAAAGGGGTAGACACATAAATTAATATAATTTTTTTTTATTTTATTCTTATATATGGTTATTTTTTATTGATTGAGAACCAAACCAATTTAATTTACTTTCATTTTCAATTTTTGATTAAGTTGTTAACAATAAGACCTTGGGAGTTTGGGATTTCTCTAAGGGTTATTGTTGCATACCAAGATTTCTTTTATTTTTTTTGTGGTAATTTTGATGATTATGATGACTCTAAATAATCTCTGTTATTAATTATTTTATAAATTGATTTTTGTCAGCCTACATTTGATCTATTATAAAATGCATCTTTTTTGATTAATATGAATAAATGTTAATAAAAATTATTTGTATTAATTTACATTATATTCAAATATTTTGTGATTATCTAAACAATGAACATTCAACAGCAAAAGGATATTTTAAAAAAAAAATAAAAAAAATAAAAAAAAAAATTTAAAAATAAAATTTTAAAATAAAATTTTTTTTGAATTCCCACACCAAGCACAAAATGAAGCATGCATTGTTTGGATAAAAATACAAAATATTTATAAATAACACAATTGTGTCTAATAAATTTTTGTGTTCACACAATTTACTATCAGTGTGGAATTATTTTGGGGCACCACTAGTTTTGGCAAACCTTCACCAACCTTTTAAACAAACAAATAGTAAAATAAAAATTTTATTAATAATAATTAAAATAATAAATATTTCAATAAATAAAAATAAACAATTTAATCCAATTAATTTATTTTAATTTATTTTTATTTTTTCAATAACAAACATATATTTTTAATTTTTTTCTATAAAATTGAGTTATTTATAAAAAAAAAAATCTGGAAAAATAAAAAAATACAATTAAAAGAAAGAAAAGAAAAAACTTTATTTTTAAATATAATAATAAATATAAATTAAATGATTATTGGATTATAATAAATCCAAATTCTGATTTTAATTTTTGGATTTTTTTTATTTTGTGGGGCTTTTTTTTTTTATTTTTATTTTTATTTTTTTTTATTTTATTTTTTTTGAAAAAAAACCATTTCTTGGTCTTCCGAATTAGTGAAGGAAAATATTATAATAATAGAAATATTTGATAACAATTACTTAATTATTTATTTATAACATGATTAATTCTTTACATTATTATTATTATTATCATCATTAAAATTTTTAACAGATTAGTATTTATATCTAATGTTGATTTATTTATAAATTGGATTAAAATAAAAATTTATAAATATTAAAAATAATTTTTACAATAAAGGGGGTAACACATATAATTATAATAAACTGCATCAAAACTTTTTCAAATAAAATGTTAAAAAAAAACAGGTGTGAAACTATTAAAAATTTTTATTTTTTTAATTTTTTTTAAATTTTTTTTTTTATTTTTTTTTTTATTTTTTTAATTTTTTTGTTTTTTTATAAATTTTTTTTTTTAAACTAAATTTTATTTTTTTTAACTATACTTTATTCTATTTTTCATTTTAATTTAACTGTTAATAATACATACATATATAAATAAACATGGGTAATAAAGATCATTTTATGCCATCAGCTATTCCAGTTCTTGAAAAGAATGTTATGATTATTTGTGGTATTCTTGTATGTTTATTTTAAACAATTGATCAAAAAAAAAAAAAGTAATCAAGTACTAATTTTTATTTTTATCTTTTTTAGGATTTCTTCTTATTCGGTATTGGTACTATTATCCTTGGTGCTTTAGATGACTGTAACATTTGGTGTGTTTTAATCGGTGTTTTACAACTCTGTTTACCAGTACGTATTTTTTTTTTTATTATTACCAAAAATAAACAATGTTTACTAATTTGTTCTTTTTTTTTTTCCAATTTAATCAGTTTGTTGGTTGGTTCTGGAGTATCATTTGGGGTGTTCTTATTTTAATTAAAGGTTTAGCTTAAAAAATTTCTAATTTTTTAAAACTATATAAACCAAAAAAAAAAATATAAAATAAAAAAAAATTAAAAAATCTTGTATTTATTTATCTAAAATTATTTACCTATATATGTATATATGGATATATTGACATATATTTATATTTTATTTTGTTTTTACCCATTAAAAATTAACCTTTTTTTTTTTTAAAATATAAGATAATTATATAATATTATAACCCAAAAATTATTAAAAATAATCTGCAAAAAAAAAAAAAAAAAAAACTTAAATACTTATTTTAAAAATAAAAAAAAATAAAAATAAAATCATAACCTTCTATAAAAATTTTCAAATAAACATAAATAGAACATTACATTTGACATCATACTGCATCATAGTTTTGAATAAAAAAATAAAAAACTTATTTTATTTTTTTAAATGGTTTTATTGTATTTTTTTAAATGGTTTTTTATTTTTTTCTTGAAAATTTTTTTTTAAGAGAAATTTGATTCATCATTTTTTGAAAGTATGATCATAAAAAAATTAATATCCAAATAGATAAAAAAAAATTAAAAATAAAAAATAAATTTTTTTTTTTTTCATTCACAATTTATTATATTATAATTCATATTTTTCTTGTTTGTGCTGGGACATAGCTTTGTTTATAAAAAAGAAATGATTTATAAAAACATAAACTAAAAATCCAACCAAACTTTTTTTTTTAATTAATTTTTCTATTATATTATAGGTTATTATATTTAAAAACCCAACTAAATCTCCGCAATCAGAAATATCTGTTGGAATTTTAAAACCTCCTTCTCCTTTGAAGATTGTGTCATCTTTATTACCAGATGGTTGGGCAAATTTATGAATTTGGGTACTGAAAAGTTTTTGAACTTTATCAACTGTAGTTTTTACTTTTAAATTATCACCATCTCTAGTTGATTGAATACCTTGTGATTGAAGGAAATTGGTGACCTTATCAAAATGTTGTTGGGTTGGTCTAGTCATACTTTCGATTTCGTCTTGACCTAAATGTTTACCATAGTTTTTGCTCTTTGGGTCTGATACATCTTTTAACTTTTTTTAAAAAAATAATTAGAGTTGTGTTTTATAATAAATTAATAAATATTAGCTACTTACTTGATGTTCTATCCAATCTGCATTTCTAATTTTTAAAACTAATGAAAAATTAATTTCACTTGATGGATCAGCTAAACCTACATCCTAAATGATAAAAAAAAAATAGGAATAAATTAGTTTTTAAATAATATAAATCTATGATTATATTTTATCATATTTACTTGTGTATATTTTGCAAAATGTGGAATTTTATCTGGAATTCTATGTGGTTGTTGTTGTAAATTTGTTGACATTTTATTATTTTGTTTTAATATTATTAAATAAAATAAATAAAAGAATTTATTTTTAAATACCGTTTCATAATTTTTTGAAATTAAATATAAAAAATAAAATTAAATAAAAATAAATTCTTTTATTATTATAATTGTAATTATAATAATATTGATTCAAAATCATTACCTTTTAAATAAAGTTAATCGAATTTAATATTTATTATTTTCATTGATAAGGAAAAAATAATTAAAAAAAAATTAAAAAAATTAAAAAAAAAAAAGTGTGGTGTGGGGGTTCTTTTATTTAAAAAAAAATTATAATAATAATTTAATTAAAATAATAATATGATAATATAAATAGTAATAATAGAAATAATTAGAAGGTAAAAAAAAATATTAATTAAGTTTACCTAAAATCAAATTAAACTTAAAATTATTATTAAACTTAAAATTATAACTAAACAAAAAATGAAAAAAATAATTTTAATTTAAAATTTTTTAATATAATTTTTTTTTTATATTTATAATAATTAAATAAATCTAATAGAAAATTAATATGAAAAATAATTATATTATAAATAATAATGTTAATATAGAAAAATAAATTGTTAAAATGAAAAGGGGTCATTTTTTGTTTATATGTGGATTAATAAATTTTATTTTAAGTTTTAATTGATATATTAAAAAAACAATAGATAAAAGATTAAAAAAAAAAAAAAAAAAAAAATTATTAAATCACTATATCAAAAATTAAAAAAATAATCGGTTTAACTATTTATAGTAATATTTATTCTTTTACACAGTCATTATTTGTTTTTTGTTCTGTTTTTTAAATAATTAAAAACTCTTTTATGTAGTAGTAATAGTACATAATTATTTTTGTGTTGTTTAAAATAGAAAGAAATTTAACTTTTAAAACTTTTTTTTTTTTTTTTTTAATAAACATAACCAATTAATTTATAATTTATATTTTTTCATTTTAAAATAAAACAGATAAAATATATTAAAAAAAATAAAATAGAATAACTCTGAAATCAAAATTAAAAAACTTTAATAGAATGACTTTTTTTGAAGAGTTTTATATAATTTTTAAACTTTCATCACTACTACCCACCCAAGACTACACCACAATAATCCATTTCGGTTTCTAGTATTGGTGTTATTTTTATTTATTTTTTTAAATTTCAAATAAGCCCCAATCTAAATACCAAATATGTACATACCCCATTTATTGTGACTGTTTACTTTTATTTTAAAAGAAGTAAAACCTAATACTATAACTTATTTTAGTAAATCCATCTTGTTTGTATTGATTTATATTGTTTTGTATTGTTTTGTTATCTAAACCATTCCAACAATTACCCCAAGGGGTTTTTTGGTGGTGCTGTGTTCTTTAATTAGTGTACCCCTCTGTGTTTATTGTTAATATTTTTTCTAAAGTGTTTTTTAAAAGTGTGTGTGTTTGTATAGTTGGTAAATTTTATACATCATCAAAGAACAGCAAAAACAAAATAGTTTTTTTATTTTTTTTAGTGATTAAAATTACTCTAGTTTGTACGAGATTAATTTACTTGATTTTTGGTCAATAACAATTATAATCACATTTGTTTATAAATTTAACAATTAAGGTTTATGATAATCTAAAGTGTTTTTTTTAATTCAACTCTATAATCAATAATAACGATAATAATAATAGTAATTAATTGTAACAATAATTAATAACAATATTGAAAATAATAAAAATGTATTTTTTAACTACCATTTTCAATTATACACATTATAATTTATGGACAAAATTTCATGATATTATCAATTATCGATATCTTTATAATAATAAAAAGAACACACACAAATTCATAAAAATTGTTCACACATACATACACACACACTCTTTCAAATACACACTTACACAACAGCACTCAAATTATATCGCTCTCTAAAAATTAGTGTTATTAATAAATTAATATTATTTTTTAAAAGAGTATAAAAAAAAAATTATTAGAGATTAATGGAAAATAATTTATGTGATTTTTATTCAAAATTACCAATAATTTTTTATTTTTTTTATTTTTTTATTTTTTTTATTTTTATTTTTATTTTCTAAATAATATCATTTTTTTTGCATTATTGAAATAATATATATATATATAATAAATATTAAAATTAACAATAAGATTTTAATAAAGTCAACAATATAAAAAAAAAAATATATTTTTCCTTCCCAATACCAATTAAAACATCATCAATCTCTTTAGTTTTTTATCAACATCAACATCATATATTTTTATGTGGGTGTGGGTGTATCAAGCTCATGTTTTTTTGTTACAGAATAAAATTAAACACAAAAGGAAAAGAAAGAACCACCTAAAAATTGATATGCACTTTCATATATGCACTTATATATTTCTTTTATAACAAAGATAGATTAACACACAACCACACTTTTTTAATATTTACATACAAAACAAAATATAGAAGCAAAAACATTTTCAACTTGCAAATAACACACACACACACACAACACACTTTTAAAATTTAATTTCACTAACCACTAAACCCAAATCACACTTATAAAAAACAAAACACATTCTCTCATTAACACTCTAAACTCTTTTAAAATAAACAATTAATTGTATCATTATTTTTATTATTATACACAATATTTACACAAACAACAGATATAAACCCACCCCACTTTTTCACAATACTATTTTTTAAAAAATCATATGCTTAATTTTCTAATATAATATTAAAACAAAAAAAAAAACAAAGACTTTTGAAAAAAGTCCACTCTAACCTCCAAATTAAATAATGGACATCTCACCTCTTACCTCTCCTCTAAATCATATGATGATTAAGAAAAAATTAATTTTTAAAAAAAAAAAAAAAAAGTGTATATAACATTAGTTTGATATATACTAAACCAAACATAAGAAAATTAATAATAGAGTAATAGTATTATTAGGAGAAATAATAATAATCATGTTTTTTAATAATATTATTATTATCATTATTAAATCTTAGATCATGATTTTTGTCAACTGAAAAAAAAAAAATAACTTATAAAACAATATTTAATTAAATAATTTAATTTATATATAGAGTTCATATTATATTGTGTATATATACTTAAAAAACAATAGAGTAGTATTATAGTTATTATTGTTTGTTGCTGTTGTTTTTTAATTCAAAATAAGCAAAATAAATAAATAAAAAATATTTTTTTTTAAAAAAAATCAGGCTCACACATACATATGTTATTTTAAAACCTTGTGTATAATAATGAAGGTAAAAAGGTGGTAACTGTATCATCCAACCCAAAATTTAAAAAAATTCTTATTATTCTTTTCCAAAAAAAAAAAAAAAAAAAAGATTTGTTTAAAATAAAAAAAATAAAAAAAAACACAAAAAAAAAGTATAGATTATATCCATCCATAAAATTAAAACATATATTAATATGATCATTTTTTGTACCTGATTATATAAATAAATAATTGTTTGTTTTTTTTTTTTTTTTTTATAAAATAATAGTTTTTTTTTTTTTTTTTTTTTTAAAAATCATTTTTTTATTTTTAAATGTTGGTTTTGTACAGAATAGTTGTTATTGCTTTTTAAAGGGATCTTGTTAGTCTTAAATCGAATCAAAGAAATTAAAAACCAACCAACTATTATTTTAAAAAAAAAAAACTATTATTTTATTTTTATTTTTTTTATTTATTTTTGTATATGTATTTATTTTTTATTTTAAATAATTAATATAAATTTTTAAAAAAATTCTATTTAATTTGAATCATTTTTGAATTTATACAATTTTTAAATAATCAATAATTTTTGTTATTGTATTGTATCAGGTTGCTGTTGTATTTTTTTTTGTTTTAGTTTCATTCTTGTGTGTGTGTGCTTTTAATTTTATTTTATTTATTTTTTCAAAATTATTTTTATTTTTATTTTTATCATAAATCATTTTCAAATTTTGCAAAAATTATTATATTTTTTAATTTAAATATTTTTAATAATAATAATCATTAAATCAATCAATCAGGCTTTAAATCTTTGTATTTTCTTTATAACTATAATTTAAAATAATTATTCTCTTTATACTTTTGTTTATTATAATAATAGTTTTTAAAAATTTATATATTTTATCAATAATTAAATATTCTTTTTATTTATTTTAATAATAAATCTATTTTAATCTCTTTTATCCAAAATATAACTGTTTATTTATAATCGTTACATATATTCATTTACTGTAATTTAAATATTTTTTTTTTATTTATTTTCAAATCGCAATTTAATCAATAAATATTTTTTTTTTTTTTTATGATTTGTTTTTTCATATATACAATCAAAAAAATCAAAAAATATTTTTATATATACAGCAATTAGTAAAAATATAACAAATCAAATAATATAGTTTTTTCTTTTTTTTTAAAATTTTTTTTTTTTTTTTTAAAATTAAATGGATACATTTTCAAATCACGAAATGAACTACTATCACTTTCAAAAATATGAAAACCAAAATCAACAATCTCAGCCATTCCAGCCCCAATCCCAACAATCATCATTTAATATTTTTAATAATTTCTCATCATTAAAAGATAATAATAATAATAACAACTATGGGGCAATATTAAATACAAACAATAATAACAATTCAAACAACAATAGTAATATCAATAATAATAGTAGTAACAGTGTTGCAAATACTAACAATACAACATTTCCAACCCCAAGTAGTAGTGGGAATAGTAGTTATTATAACACTCCCCTCATTAACATCACTAAACTCAGTGTCACAACCAGTATCACCAACAAAGGCATCATCACCACCAGTTAATGTTGGTCAATTTTCAAACAACAATTTCAATACCAATAGTGATATTCATATGTCCAACTATAACCTACCTCATTTTCATCATTTTAATAGCTACCATACAAGTCATGACAATACAATAATAACACCAATTCACACATCAACTACCAATAGTCCAAATTTAAATAATGGAAATAGTGTTGATCGTATGAATATTAGTGGTAATAATATTATGGCAAGCCCAATAATTACATCAAATAATGGAAACAATCAAAATATATCAATAACACTAAATAACAATCAGTCTAACTCTCTACCAAATAGTATAAACTCAAACTCATCATCCACACCATCACTCTATGACTCGTCACCATCAATCAACTCAAGTCCTATTCAGCTTAGTCCACTTTTAACTGTACCAAACTCTCCAAATGTAATGCATGGTCACTCCCACTCATTACCAAATGGCTCATCGTTCAGTTTAAATCCAAATAATCACCAACATCATGCAACCAATAACTTAAATAACTTTAATAACTTTAATCATAATAATTTAAATGGCAATAATGAGTTTTTAAATCCATTGTATAGTCAATCAAGGTAATTATTTAAAACCATATACATATAAAAAAAATAAAACAAATTACTAATTTATTTTTTTCATTAGAAATCATGATACCCCATGGTTTTGTGTAGTAAATCAACAGTCACCCCTATCAGGTGGGTTCCCATTACCCAATGTATTTTCAACTTTTCAAACACCTTTATTTAGAAACTTCTATCATCAAATAGAATTCTTTATACCTGATTTGGCTATGCAAAGAAAATACCAAGGTAGTAGAATATATATCGCAGATTCCATTGGGTATAGTGGTAACGCAAAGAAATTTATAAACTCTCCACAATCACTCGATGAAGTTGCTTTAATTTTAGAAGGTCAAGTTTTAGACATTGATTTTAACCCCTTGCCCCAATGTACCTGTTGTAAAGATTATTTCCAAAGTAGATTCTATTTCGCTACCAATCCACAATGTAAAGAGAAGCTAGTTCTTGTTAAAAGCAATGTTACATGTTATGTTCAAAATGGTTTATTCCCATTCCAAATTAAAATTATGTGTTGTTCAAAACATCATAATAATAATAGTTTGGTTCTTCATCTATGGCTAAGAGATGCTCAAACTAAACAAATAGTAATGTCCTCAGTACTCTCATCTTATATTAAACAATGGAAAAGAAGTAAATCAGTATCAGGTCATATGTAAATTCATTAAACAATAATAAATAAAAATAAATAATAAATAATAATATTTTAGTAAATAAATCAATTTATAGATAATAATAATATGATTTCTATTTTTCTTTTTAGATAAAAAATTTTATCACATGTAAATAAATTTAATACGCCATATTTATAAATTACCAATGAAAGTTTTTTTTTTTTTTTTTTTTTTTACAAATATTTTTATTCGTTTATTTAATTTAACAACATTTAATTAGTTTAGAAGTGGGTGA